ATTCATTTTAAACGTCTTTAACTGGTGTAATCATCATCAAGAGGATGAAAGGAGAAAAGTGCAACAATGTATTTATCAGAAAAACTGAGAATTCAGAGTCTCAGAATAAACTCTGACATCTACGTCTGTTTACCTGAGCCTTTAGGTGGCTCGCCCAGTTTGTAATCTTTCAGAAACAAAAGAGCAAACAGTGAAAAATCATTCACGCCCTCTGCACAACTGCCAGCCCATTTCTAAAGCACCTCACTACAAGGAGCTGAGAATGTGGACAAAGAGAAATCAAATGGGATTTTTTAAATGCTTTCTTTAAAAAACTGAATGTGCTTTTCCATTTTGTGCTATTTTTCTTCTCTACATGCACTGCTTCTCCTGGATGAAGCTGTTATGCAACTGCTCTCGCGGACAGGAGATCATTTCCTGGCCCCAAAGGAGTTCTCGCATATTGAGAGAACATGTTACGAGATGGACCCCAAAAGAAGAGCATCTGGTTGCCCTAAGTATAATGCTCGCAGTAGAGAAATCACCATAAATAGCTTTAACAGAGACCAAACGTGTCCGTTTCAATCCAGTGTTTTATCACCCACCAAGGGAATTTATCTGGGTGAAGGGAGAGACGGGGAGTGAAGTCATTTAGCAGGGCATGGTTCATAACTCTTTTATTGGGACCAACAGGTCAAGGTCTTTAATAGCTGTAAGATGGAAAGTTAAAGTCATTGTTATCCAACCACATTTAAAGAATGAAAACATAATTGAGAGAGAAGAAAACTAGTTCCTCCAAAGGTTACGGAAAAGAGAGGGGGCTGTATTTAAAAGGCGATTTGGAGAATTAGAGAGGAAGATTGTATGTGCTTTTTTGCTTAATCAGAATATAGTTGTAAAAAATCGTAAGTAAAATTTCCTGAGTAGTACTATCTTCTGATTCTGATACATTTGGGATTTTCTTACTGTCTCCAAGGAAATGAGTTGAGGATGCTAGTCTCAGGAGAATTAGCATGTACTAAAAGTGAACTAACAGGCTTCTGTCATGGGAGAAATACAACCGTGGAACACACTGATTTGCTGCGAACTAACAAAAACCACAACAAACAGTTGGTAATTCAAGCACATGTCTATGCAAAGAATACATGCATATTTAAGAATTATTTATTTTATTTAAATAGGAAGAAGCAGTCATACGGCATGGAACGGATAAGATATTTTAGTGCGCTGTAAAAGGTGCATCTCACTCTATGAGGAGGTTAGGAGAAACTCCACAAATAAAACTTAATGGATTGAATTCTGGTGAGACACGGTGACTCTCTCAAATGGAAATTCAGGCATTCCATGGAGAGCCTGTAGGATTAACTAAATTGCTGGCATTTTTCCTTGTCAGGATGGCAGAAAACACCAATGTACCACTACTGCTGGAGGCTTTGCCGTATGTCCTGGCATCATCAAAATCCTCTTGCTTTGGAAAATTAATCTGAACTGTGAAATTTGACCACAGTATCCACTGGAAGAATCTATTTTAACTATCCTGAATCCACTCTCCAGAGAAGTCCTTACTTGTTAGATGTCTTATGGACCAAGTTGCAAGTATTTCAATTTAGATAATGTGGCATAAATGGAATAATTAAAAAATAAATAGAGCCTGGCACATGGGCAAAACTGCTACTTTTTTCTTATTTGTCTTCCAAACTATTCTTTTTCAGATTGGATCATGTGTAGACAATTTAAATCAGAACTAGCTTGAGTGTTTCCCCTGCTGCAGTCCTACCATTCTTACAATGAAAGAGCTAACTGCCATCTTCACCAGCACATTACAGCACGCAAACAATCCAAGCCTTACTACAGATGATTGATTGAGCCACTAAAGGCATCAAAATCCTCTAACTGAGCTGTCTGAACAATATCAAACGCCCACAGAGATGTGGTGGGAAAAGAATTCAGACCTATCTCATCAAAAATAAACCCTGTTTAATTGAAATCAGCAGCTTCCTTGCCTTTGTTTCATCCTATCATCCACTACATCCACCACCATGAAGTCCTATGTCCGCCTTGCCCAGGCAGAATTGTTTCATTTACTGACGGCTCAATATCTTGACCAGTATTAGGTACACCCGTATACTTATTACTGAGCACATACCTCTAACACCATTTCACTCTCTGGCAGTTGCCTTTGATCTCTGCTCCAAACCTGCATTTGTTGAATAACCAGGCTCTCTGACCTCTACCACATCTGACATTTTCCCCTCCAGGTCATCTTGCTGTCCTTCATTGCAGATGTCGACTATAATTTATCCCTTTTGCTAACACCACAGGAAACCAAGTCCCTCTGAGGCCAATACCAGCATCCTGAGCTGATTGTGGTTATAATAAACCGTTGCCCACCATCCATCCACCCACCTCCACTGTCTCTTCCCCTCCTCCTCTTTGAGCTGCCAGTCATTGCAGAAGCGCATTGACTGCCTGCGTGTGTCTACTTATAATAAAGTCATTACAGTGAGTGTTGCTTTTGTTAAAGGAAAACCACACTGTTACAACTGGGCTTAAAGGATATGTTTTCTCCTAAGAATGACAGTCTCTGATGGGCGTTCTTCCTTGTCACTTTGAGAGTGGCATGAGGAACAGCTGGAGGGGATGGAAATGTCCTATATCTTGCTTAGAGTGGTGGTTACCTAAATATATACAAAACTCGATGAACTCTATACTTTAAAAGATACCTATTATTGCATAAAAAGTACACTTCAAAAAGGTGATTGGAAAAAACAATAGACAGATTGATAGACAAAACGAAGCATCAGCTAACTGCAAAACCAAATTCATCTAAATAACGAACTATCTCCAATTTTCTAACTTTACACTTAGGATCCAATTCCCTAAACTGAATATAATTTAGAGTTTTTATTTCATTCAGAGATTGTTAATGCAAAATTCAAAACGGTTGACATGTCACCGAAGCCCTGCCCAGTGTTTGATGAGACAGCATAAGCTATTACCTTGACACAACTTTAGAAAAAACAGGCAGCCTAATTTCCCCTATATACATACGGCTGGAGGCAAGAGATCTGATTTCAGTGGAGAATTTCAAATAATCAGCATCCTCCACAACCCATATAAAGTGAGGCTAGGTTTGGAGGGATTCCAAAGCCAGGGGTAGCAAGAAGCCTTAGGCCAAACAGATGATTTAAAAGACATGGGAAGAAAAATTTCAAATATAATGTTTATAGAGCAAAATAACACTTGTTTTTTTCATTGTGCAAGGATATCTTGAAGGTGAGAGCCAAGCTCAGCTGCTGCTTGTAAATCAAAATAACCCTTTCATTTTTACCTAACAAAGACGAGAAAAGGGAGAGAACAAGGTTACAAGGTGATATTCTTACCTAGTGGGAATACTAAAGGGAATGCCGTTGTTGTCAAAATGTGTAAGGTCTATAAATCACGTGGGTTAGAGTAACAGGACACACAATTAAGTATAATATTGGGAAAGCATGATTTTTCCTTGACAAGGATGAATTGTTCAATATAAACCCTGGGAAGAACTAATATGAACAAAGAAAAAAATAAAGAGAATCCAGAATAAGGTAGTGTCTGAATATCAGATGATACAGAGCAAAGGAAAAAAATCATAAAATATTTTGTGCATAAAACCTTGATTATTCAAATTTTTGGTACATAGGAATAGCACATATATTGCAAAATAGAAGGTGATTAAGAAACAAGTTATTTCATTTTAGAGGGTAGTCACACATATGGACCCTACACACACATACACACACACACACTTTTACACTCCCTGGTCTTAACACTCTTCACACTCCAGCTTATTGTTCACAGTGTAGATCCCAGCTGAAGGCTGGTGTGGAAGAAGCCAGGCAACAAAAGATGTGCATATGTGTTTAAGAATTTTCACTGTATTTTTAGGATGGATGTTGACAAATGACTTTAAAGTAGCTCAAAGAGAGGGGCATCATTTCTTGAAAAATGATGCTCCCTGGTTCATATAAGCTGACATAGTATAACATTTATTTTGGTTTAACAAGCTGACAGCCTTCCAGCTGTAAATTAAGAGGCATTTCTAAATCAGTTGCACTGAGTCTTTATCAAGGCAGTTCTTGATTCAAGAGACTGCTGCCTAACCAGTCAAGTCAAGAGACTCGATCTAATCAAGTACATCATATCCTTTCAAAGGTTTCAATAAAAAACACTTCCATGTGTTAGCATTTAAATACTGAAACACTGAAACATTCAGAAATATACAACTCTCTAGTATACTGCATGAGGTAGGTGTTACTATATCACCATATAACAGACAGAAGAGCTGTGGTTTAGAGAGGGTAAGTAATGGGCATAAAGTCACATGCAATAAACAGAGGCGCCATATAGGTCCGACACCTAAGGTCATGCAGCTGCAGAAGGCAAAATTGAATTTTGGTCACTGGTAGGGCACCTATGTAATTAGGACATTAAAAACACTAAAAGATAAAACCTTGTATTCAGTTGGGCGTGGTGGCTCACGCCTCTAATCCCAGCACTTTGGCAGGCTGAGGTGGGTGGATCACATGAGACCAGGAGTTCGAGACCAGCCTGGCCAACATTGTGAGACTCCCCCCCACGCCCGCCTTTACTAAAAATACAAAAAAATTAGCCAGGCATGGTGGCGCACGCCTGTAGTCCAAGCTACCTGGGAGGCTGAGGTTGGAGAATCACTCCAACCCGGGAGGCGGAGGTTGCAGTGGGCCGAGATCACGCCACTGCACTCCAGCCTGGGCCACAGAGCAAGGCTCCGTCTCAAAACAAACAAACAAAAAACCTTGTATTCATTAAGAAGAAATTGTGTATTGCATTATTTTTTCACTTGAGAAGCTGGTATTTCAAAATGGTTAAGAACACAAACTAGCAGGCTGCCCACGCCGCCCCGCCGCCCCGCCGCCCCGCCAGCCCGCGCCGACGACGGGGCCACCGTTCATTATCTGGAAGGAAGATGGCGCCTGGTGGACAGCAAAGGCTTTGATGCCTATATGAAGACACTAGGAGTGGGAATATCTTTGCAAAATACGGGCGCAGTGGCCAAACCAGATTGTATCATCACTTGTGATGGCAAAAACCTCACCATAAAAACTGAGAGCACTTTGAAAACAACACAGTTTTCTTGTACCCTGGGAGAGAAGTTTGAAGAAACCATAGCTGATGGCAGAAAAACCCAGACTGTCTGCAACTTTGCAGATGGTGCATTGGTTCAGCATCAGGAGTGGGATGAGAAGGAAAACACAGTAACAAGAAAATTGAAAGATGCAATCAGTGGTGGATTGTGTCACGAACGGTGTCACCTGTACTCGGATCTATGAAAAAGCTGAATAAAAATTCCATCATCACTTTGGACAGGAATTAACTATAAGAATGAATAAGCTCAGTTCAATGAGCAAATCTCTATACTGCTTTATTTTTTTCATTGCTGTGTTCAATCATCTTTATCACAAACATTTTACATGCAACTCTTCCAAAGTGTTGGATTAATTAGGATCATCCCTTTGGTTAATGTGTTTGTGCGAAAGGAAGGAAGGAAGGAAGGAAGGGAGGGAGGGAGGGAGGGAGGGAAGGAGGGAGGGAAAAGAAACAGAGTAGCCATATTACCTGGTTTCAAATTCCAACTCTGGCACTTAGTAGCTGTGTGACCTTAGGCAAGTTACTTATCTGTGCCTTGGTTTCTTCATCTATGAAATGGGGGATAAGAATACTACTTAATGCATAAAGTTTTTATAAGGGCTGTATTTATGCATAGTACTGGTATTGTGAATATCTTTCTTTAAAGGTCTTTATGTTTTTGAGAAGCACGTTGAACTACTTAGAGAAAAATGTTTATGATATCAAGATAGTTGGGGTACAAGGGTATAGACAAAATTGTCTATGAGTGGATAATAGTTAAAAATGAATTGTCAGAAAACCTACAAATATTAGCTGGGCATGGTGATAGACTCCTGCAAGTAAGTCCCAGCTACTTGGGACGCTGAGGTGAGAGGACCACTTGGACACAGGAGGTTGAGGCTGTACAGAGCCATGATGGCAACACTGTACTCCAGACTGGGTGACAGAGCAAGACCCTGTCTCAAAAAAAAAAAAAAAGAATTGTAAGTATATAGAGGTTCATGTACTATACATACACAGGCACTCCTGTATAGTTTTGGAATTTTTTATAACAAAAAGTTTTTTAAATATTTTTATGTAAAACATTTACAATTATACCTGGAACATAGTAAATACCACATCATAGCTATGATTATTACAGCAAAATTCCATTTTTATGTGGATCTGTATCCATATAAAATAGATCTATATATGGATCTACTTTAATGCTATTTACTTACAGCCCCTTTTTCATTTCTAGGACATAATGAAAAATAAGCAATAGAGATTTATTCTCTACATCTATAGTTGGCTTAGAAGAAAAGATAACTGAAGTCATACAAGGAACTGTTATCAAAGAAGATGGAAGGCTCATCCATCATTTCGATGGTGTTGAGTTGAAGAATCTGAGTTAGTACGGTGTAATAGAGAATAAGATGTAGTCAGGTAATAAAAATTAATAATCATAGTTTACATGTATTGAGGAGATATTATGTGTGAGGTAGAGTCACAAGTGGTTGCACATTTGTTACCTCATTTAATCCTCTCAACCACCCAGCCTATGAAGTAGGCATCATAATAAATAGCTCCTTTATTTTTGAGACAGAGTCTCGCTCTGTCACCCAGGCTGGAGTGCAGTGACGTGATCTCGGCTCACTGAAACCTACACCTTCCCGGTTAAAGCAATTATCCTGCCTCAGCCTCCTGAGTAGCTGGGATTACAGGCACCTGCCCCCACACCTGGCTAATTTTTGTATTTTTAGTAGAGATGGGGTTTCACATCTGGGCCAGGCTGGTCTTGAACTCCTGACCTGGTGATCCACCCACCTCAGCCTCCCAGAGTGCTAGGATTACAGGCATGAGAACACTGGCCAAGAGAGGTTAAGTAACTAAAACCTGCTACATAAGACTGACACTAATGCCGTATTTTTCTTTCCCAAACATTACTGGCTCGGGAACTGAGAGGTTACAAATCTGTACCAGGCAGACAAAAAAAATAACATGCTCACCATCCCTCAACCAGATAGTTACTGTAGGAGCCAACACATCCAAGCCAACGGTCTGACTCCAGAGCCCTGACCCTCAAGCACATCCTATAGAAGACCTGGGTTCAAGTCGTGACTCCAATAAGGTGTTTTTTTTTTTTTACATTATTTTTTATTATACTTTAAGTTCTAGGGTACATGTGCACATGTATGCATATGTATACATGTGCCATGTTGGTGTGCTGCACCCACAACTCGTCATTTACATTAGGTATATCTCCTAATGCTATCCCTCCCCCCACCCCCCACCCCATGACAGGCCCCAGTGTGTGGTGTTCCCCTTCCTGTGTCCAAGTGTTCTCATTGTTCAGTTCCCACCTGTGAGTGAAAACATGCAGTGTTTGGTTTTCTGTCCTTGTGACAGTTTGCTGAGAATGATGCTTTCCAGCTTCATCCATGTCCCTACAAAGGACATGACCTCAACCTTTTTTATGGCTGCATAGTATTCCATGGCGTATATGTGCCACATTTTCTTAATCCAGTCTATCATTGATGGACATTTCGGTTGGTTCCAAGTCTTTGCTATTGTGAATAGTGCTGCAATAAACATACGTGTGCATGTGTCTTTATAGCAGCATGATTTATAATCCTTTGGGTATATACCCAGTAATGGGATCACTGGGTCAAATGGTATTTCTAGTTCTAGATCCTTGAGGAATTGCCACACTGTCTTCCACAATGGTTGAACTAGTTTATAGTCCCATCAACAGTGTAAAAGTGTTCCTGTTTCTCCACATCCTATCCAGCACCTGTTGTTTCCTGACTTTTTAATGATCACCATTCTAACTGGTGTGAGATGGTATCTCATTGTGGTTTTGATTTGCATTTCTCTGATGGCCAGTGATGATGAGCATTTTTTCATGTGTCTGTTGGCTGCCTAAGTGTCTTCCTTTGAGAAGTGTCTGTTCATATACTTTGCCCACTTTTTGATGGGGTTGATTTTTTCTTGTAAATTTGTTTGAGTTCTTTGTAGATTCTAGATATTAGCCCTTTGTCAGATGAGTAGATTGCAAAAATTTTCTCCCATTCTGTAGGTTGCCTGTTTACTCTGATGGTAGTTTCTTTTGCTGTGCAGAAGCTCTTTAGTTTAATTAGATCCCATGTGTCAATTTTGGCTTTTGTTGCCATGCTTTTGGTGTTTTAGACATGAAGTCCTTGCCCATACCTATGTCCTGAATGGTATTGCCTAAGTTTTCTTCTAGGGTTTTTATGGTTTTAGGTCTAACATTTAAGTCTTTAATCCATCTTGAATTAATTTTTGTATTAGGTGTACAGAAGGGATCCAGTTTCAGTTTTCTACATATGGCTAGCCAGTTTTCCCGGCATCATTTATTAAATAGGGAATCCTTTCCCCATTTCTTGTTTTTGTCAGGTTTGTCAAAGATCAGATGGCTGTAGATGTGTGGTATTATTTCTGAATGCTCTGTTCTGTTTCATTGGTCTATATCTCTGTTTTGGTACCAGTACCCTGCTGTTTTGGTTACCGTAGCCTTGTAGTATAGTTTGAAGGCAGATAACGTGATGCCTCCAGCTTTGTACTTTTGACTTAGGATTGTCTTGCCAATGCAGGCTCTTTTTTGGTTCCATATGAACTTTAAAGTAGTTTTTTCCAATTCTGTGAAGAAAGTCATTGGTAGCTTGATGGGGGTGGCATTGAAGCTAAAAATTACCTTGGGCAGTATGGCCATTTTCACAATATTGATTCTTCCTATCCATGAGCATGGAATGTTCTTCTATTTGTTTGTGTCCTCTTTTATTTTGTTGAGCATCCACTAAGGTTTTTAATCTTGTGCGAATTGCCCAACTTTTAGGTCCTCCTCAGTCCTTTCCCTTGCTTTGTTCTTCCTGGGTGTTTTGCCTGAAGCTATAGACGGTGCCCTTTCGAAGGCCTCAGCATCTCTAGGTTCCAGCAACAACCACAACGAGGCAGGAAAAATATCCACAAACTCAGGATCACCAAATAGCTGTCGATAAGTACTGCCAGGGACTGCTTGTCAACACATGGATAAAGCAGTTGCTGTCGACCCTAGCTGCACATTAGAATCACCAAGAGAGCTTTTAAAAACCACCAATACCCAACCCTACTCCCAAACCAATTAAATCAGAATCTCTGGGGATGGAGTCTGGGCACTAGAATTTTTTTTTAAGTTACCCGGATAATTCTATTGAATCCAGTGTTGACAGCTGCTGAGCTAAAAGATGAGAAAACCCATAGATAGGCACAGGGATTTAATAGAAGCCAAAGAACCTAAATGTTCAAGTAAATCTTTCAAAATGATGCTTCCCCATATTACTATACTCTATATCTGCTTATTTTTAAAATCCTAATTCCAAAATAAGTATACTATTCATAAATTTACAAGATCTGCATACATGTTTATGCACATATACATAAACACAAACACACATGTGATAAGTATGCTTGTGTAAGTACATTATTTTTATACCACTACAGTCAAATATGTTATAGATCTGGTTTGGGGGATAAAATTAGTATTAAAATATCAGTAGTATTTCCATTCTACCTCCACACACACACACACACACACACATACACACACAAGCGCACACACCACTTCCTGCTAGTTCTCTCTAAGGCTAGGATCTCACCCTTGCCTCTTTCTAAAATTGAAGAACACAGGAAGTCATTTCAGCTGCTGACAAATGAGAATAACTTGACTCTAGGTATAGTCATATACTTTAATCAAGGAAATAAATGCCTTAAATTTCTGCTGGTTTCCTATTGTAATTAAAATTGGAACATCTTAATTTGTATAGGAACTACTGTTGGATTTTTATAGAGATGTGTGTTTAATAATTTTTCCTGTGTCACACAAAGAATGTAATGTGGACAACTGAAAGGGAAAAAGGCAATGGTGTTCAGAGGTTTAAAATAAATTAAACATTCCTTCCAGGTTTTTCTGGATGACTTCCCTCCATAAATTACATCTTTTGCACTATGCCATTTGTTTCCCCCAACTATTTCTATATGGTGTAATAATTACATGCTCCATTGAACTCAAAAAGGTTAGTGAAAGGTTAGGTGAACAGAGCAAATATAAGAAAATGTAAAGAAAAAGCTGCAGTTTGGTCTTTGTTGGTACATAAAAAAAAAATTTAAGTGAACAGAAATTTCATGGAAAAGACAGAAAGCACCATCATTCTGTTCAGGTTACATTTTACACAAAGCTCAATGTAAGAAGACATT